TTCTTATTTTGGGGAGGCACTTTTTCTTTCTTTTGTCTTTCCATTGTGATCTGCTTCCAAAATTGCATGGATTCCCACCACGAACAAGACTAGTCCTACAGGAGCATTCTTAAAAGCATCCCACCATCTGTCTTCAATTTCCTTTTGGACAGTTAATGAGGTCCTGTAGTTGTGGCACTGCTTCATGCTAAGTGTTCTCCCCTCCTTTAGGTGGATGTCCGCATTGTTGAGCCACAGGGAATTCGCTATGTGCATGCTCCTAATTCACTCGGAGACCATTTTGATGGAATCACTACCATCTCCAAGGGAGAGAAAAAGGTAACTTTTAAAAGTTAAGTGTTAAATAAGCTAATATATTATTGCTTACTATAAACCACTCACCTAGCTCTGAAATATGTGTGTCTCTAGGTACGTGTCACACTATTTTTGTCACAGTGAGTATTATTAAATCAGTAAACCCACACAAGCCTCAGTGCCCTTTTTGTTTTGAAGCAGCAAAATCCATTTCTCATTTAAATTAAAAATAAAGAAATCAGAAGAGCTCTTAGTGAAACAAGATATTACATAAATAGAGGAACCACTTTTGTTTCAGTGGTCCCCCTTTCCCACATTTGACTGACTATCATTTCTCTTTTCAAGGCTCATGTTTCTTTCAAGCCAACGATGGCTCAACAGCGAAAATGCCCCACGTGCTCTTCTACAGCTGTAGATGGGAACTTTGTCGTGCAATATGATGTGAACAGAGAAACCACGGGTGGAGAGCTGGAAGTAAGTATTGCTGTTTAACCAGGAAGGGAGGTCTGTGAATGCAGGAATTGCTGCCCATAAACAATCTGCTGAATTTCATCACTGTATAAATAATGCACTTAACGAGGCAGAAATTAAGCCATGTTGGCATGTTCAGGGAGAACAAGAATGAGAAAGACACCTCTGTCCTGTTGAAGAAAAGAAATAATTTAAATGAGCATAAAGGATTTACTTAATTTATGACTAAGACATGGTCCTACAAATAGTTAGGAGTAGTTTCCCGCCTTATCCACAAGCCAATTTTTTTTATACTTAACACCACTCTAGTAACTTAATGTTGAATCACAAGACAGAGTCTTTGAAACTTATACCAATATATCATAAGAAGACAAACCAGAACATCATTGTTTTAATGTTAACTTGAAGCAGAGTTATGGGTCGAATTATTATAGCCACATTTTTTTTTAATATTGTCATTAATTCCAATGCCAGCGCATGGCATTTCTCCAAAAATTAGCTTCTACTCTCCCTGATAGAAAGCAAAGACTATGAAGTATGGATGGTGTTAGGCTACAAATACAGGGACCTGCAGAGCTGAAAGTCAGATCCAGCCCATAAAGAAGAATAGCATTTTCTCTTCTGTTATTGTCTTGCATTCCCTGAAATCTTTACCATGGCCCAGTTTTCTGTGT